TCCGCAAATGCACCAGCAACATCAGAACCGTTCCGGACACCAGGGTTTTGATCTCGTTCAACGCCTCGCAGGACGTCATCTTCTGCAACAGATCGTGAGAGAGATTCAACAGCAGGTTCTGCTTCTGCGGTGTAGGCAGCTGTTGACTCGTCGCAACGCAGAACAATATCTCGGTCGTTTGGCACCAGCCCTCGACGAACTTCACCGTGGCGTAAGACAACAGTTTCGTCTGGTTCCTCTTCAGAGCGTACATTAGAATCTTCTGCACTTCTTGCTGCATGAGATTGCGTTGGGTGGCGGTCGCGCTGCTCTGAGTGACGGCCAGCTCTTCCGTGATGAGGGAGTGTAGTTTCCTTATATCTATGAGCCGGGGGCCCCCTATCAACGTGACCGGAGTGCTACACCGTCCCAAGGCCATCTCAACCTGCGACGGGTCGAAGAAGTCCAGGGACAATGGCGACTCCAGCTGAAGCTGGAACTCGGTGTAGTGCAACAGGTCCATCAGAAGTTTCTGCGAGGGCACGATTTGCCCTTTCTCCTGGCCAAAGTTCCCCACCAGCCGCTGAACCAGAGAATTCTGCAAGCTACCGCCGGCGACACGCAGCTCAATCGCCGCTATTTTCAACAACCAAGACATGCAGCCGAGCTCCGCTGCCTTGTTCTGTCCCTCAAATGGTAACTTGGACAGATGCCTCTGCACAAAGTCTTGGTTCACGCTGGTCCGCAGGAATCTCAACACCGGGACAGACGTCTTGTTGTTGGCGGCCAACGTGTGGAGGAAACAGTAGCAGGCTTCCGTTATCTTGTCGCGGCCCCGCTCGAGAGACTGCTCTAAAATCCCTAATATCGAGTGCAGGCAGGTTCGTGGAAAGCCTAGAATACCAGGCTGTTGCAACACGGTTTTTCTGATGTCTTTGGTGATCTCGAATCCTAAGAGATAGTGAGAGAGGTTCGGCGTAGGTCGCACGATGCTCTGCATCATCAGAAGTAGAATTCGTTCCTTGCAGCTGCCGGTGTACTGTTTCTCGTTCTCTGTGTCTTCGTCGAACGTCGTGTCCGCGTCCAAGCACTCGACGAAACCGTGCCTGATGTTCGTGGACAAAGCGGGCGTGGCTGTGAACGTGGAAAGTAGCTCGGAGTCAGCTCCTGGCTCGTTCGTCACCTCGTGGATCACGCCAACAGCATGAAACGCGTGCTGCGAGAGCCAAGAACAGTACGAGACGTACTTGGCGACGTTGATCATGTAGTCAGGCTTCTTCGACTGTGGGTCTACCTCCAGCAGCAACCTCGACAGTCCGGTCAGAATTTTGTGTATCGATTTCGCAGCAGCCAACTGAGCCATGTAATTGTGCTGGGTCTTCAATCCCCTTTCCAATATCTCCAAGCAATACAACGTACAATTCTCGAGGCTCTTCTTACCGGGAAACTGTTCGTACGTGTCGAAGTGGCTGCAACCTTTGTCGAGGATGTACAGTATAACGTGGAGCAATTCGGACTTCGAGTGCAACTGCGTCATTATGTGATAGCCAGGAGCGGAGTTAACTATCGTGACCTCGCCGCTTTGCAGCTCCACCTTGCATCCCACGAAGTCTTCCACAGCTGGCTCGTACTGCTTGATGAGCTTCGAGAATATTTTCAGACAAGCCTCGGCAACTTCCCACTTCTCGCCCGGGTTCTTGTACGACCGCGTGTGAAACTTAAGGAAAACCGTGTTGATGATGAAATGTAGATACGGATCGAAACCCGGATTACGCTGGCCCATCCCTAGCAATCGTAACACGGGAAAGTCCGTGAGCACATCTAGAAGCTCGAGCATCGCCCGTGTCAGCGGGTACTCGTCTTTCTTCGACTCGATCTCCTCCAATTCGGTCTGAACGCCTCTCGGTTGATAGCTGCTTATCGTCGGTATGGTAGAAAGTATCTGCGCGGCTTCCAAACTTTGCCACACGGTGGACGAGCTTTCCGGCGATCTGGCCAACGCGGCAAGCGTTCGTATCAAAACGCTCTTCAACGGGATCGATATTCCGCAGCTAACCAGACCGATCAGAGACGGCAGTACTTTCCACCCTGGGTGATCGCATATCGCTATTCTTGATATCTCGTCGTTCTTCGCGATCACTTGAACGACTAGCAACACTGCCTCGAGACCTTTCACTTCCTCCGGCGTGATCCCTTTCGGATGGCTTCTTTGCCGGTAAACGGTGTCCTGACTCGGAGGCAGTTCTTTCCTGAGATTGTCGTAGTACTGGCTCAAAGATTTGAAAAAGTGATCCCAGGAAATTGTCGTCGATCCTGAAGATCCTATGGATAGTTTTTTTTAAATTTATTTTTCATTTATTTTTCATTACGATATTTCGAGCAATATTTAAAAAAAAAAAAAAAAAAGAGTCACTTACCGTTTGGCTTGAGGAAATTGAATGCTTGTCGCGCCGCTTGCGGAGAAGATGCAAGAGACGCGATCATTTTAAGATATGGAACGAATAATCCTGCTGGTAATATTTCGCCGGCGAGACGTACGAATTTGAAGAGAGCGACTTGTCTGGATGGCAAGCGATTGATGTACGTAGAAGCGGATGTGTATGTGGAGTCGTGGCCAGAGTGATGACACCAGTAATGCATAACCAGTTCCAATTTTAAGGGATCCTCTTTGTACAATTCTGCCACTGTCAACATTAGATATTCAAAATGATTGTCTAGGTTCAAGGGTGGTTCGATACCCTCCTGTTGGTATGCCTGGATCAGACGCATAGACTCGTCCACACGACTCCGCAGATCCTTGACTTTCAAAGGCATCAGCAATATAAAATCGGAGATGAGAGAGTGGAAATAACGGAGATAGAATTCTTCGTAGTATATGTTCTTGTTCTTAAATAATATTTCAGCCATGAAGTGGAAACATTTGTTCGTTAAAGCTGCCTCCAGCAGTCTCTCGTCCTCGGTAGCAATGTTCGGTAAAACCTGCACCCCAGCCGTGCCTTTTATCGTTGTGAGGGCAACTGCAAAGGCGAATTGTATAAGCCCGCGTAATCTAGCACACTCCCAGTTGATGTTCATTGATATTAATTTTTGATACAGTTCGTAGTGCACCCCTCTTTCCGCGATCAGTGGCATAGAATTGATCAATTCTGAAAGGAAACGGTAAGATAACAGTAATATAAAATGTATATCGACGCTTGATGAGGAAGCATACCTTCGCCATTCTCGTGACTGTGTAACGAACTGAAATTGATTGCATTCAACACGCTCATTATAATGGCAAGCGTAACTTTATCTACACCATTCTCGTACGCCTCCGGCTCAATTTGTTTCGCTTGTAAGAGCGTTAACAGGCGAAATAAGATTGAATTTGGCAATGAGGATTGTGCGGACCACAAATATAGTATATCTGCCAAATCCTGTCTAGAATCATTGTAGAGTTTCATGACCATGTACCGATGCTTCGATCCGCCTAACGCCCGATTCTTTTCTAATAGTTCCTGCTCTTTCACAGGATCCATCTTCTCCAACAGCGATAGAATCCTATCTAATAAACCATCCTCTTGCAATTTATTCGTATATTCCGTAATGTGTCTCAGAAGAGCGATTGGAGCATCAATGTTCCAACTGTGGCCCATTCTTGCTTGTATCAGCATCCTTAACGTTGACGTGAGCGCTTTCTTTCCATCATAATATAATAAAATAGCTGTCAATCCTCTGGGTAAACCAGGATGGTGAGGCATTTGTAGTTGAGCAGTGCATAGAAGATCCAACGCCATGAATTCATTAAGTTCATACATGTCTGATATAATGAGGGTTTCGTCAACCAATTCCTTTGACAATAACTGATGGCCCAAGCCAGGGAGCGTAATACCATCCGTAGCACCTTTTGTTATTTCTTCCCTGCTGTTTACATTCGGGGGCTGCGACAAAATATAATTTTAACTGTATGAAATGAAAATTTAATAACACTTTCATTGCTTTTTATGATCTTACATACTCGATATTATATAATTCACTTACTGGATTTTTTAGAAGAGTTAAAAAATTCTGCTTGTGATTGCGCAAGGCCTCGGTAAATTCATGGTACTGGAGATCGTGAGTCGATGGCGATGAAGTGATGTAACGTTCTACGAGATTCTGGAGTTCCTTGTAAGGAGTCCACATATCTTCGGTGCTTACTTTCTCTGCAAAATTTACAATACAATTTTTTGTTGACAATTGACGTAGAGCGGAATAGAAAAAATGAAAAGAAATTAAAAATCTATCTCGAAAACTATGTGATACTGCGATGCAATACTGAAACACACGAATGACTGCATTATTCAAGTGAATATAATTCAAATATTTACCGGTCGCGCAGTACAGGTTAAGTTTTCTAACCTCAGTTAAAAACATGCACGATTCATACAAATTAAAACTTACCTTCGGTCATTTTTTCCCTTCACAGTAAATAGAACGTTGTAAAAACAGAAATCTGGTACAAAGTATAATATTTAAATGCATATAATAAGAGGAAAGGAATCTCGTGCAACATAATACAAATACCGGTCCTCTGGCGGGAATAGCGAATCCATTAGTAATCATAAATCATAGAATAACTAGCATATAGACTAGCATATTTCTAAAAAAAATTACGCCAAGTAAAAATTTGCTGAAATTCGTTGAAATTCGTTAAAATTTCAATTAAAAATTATTTTTGATTTAGAAATTTGACATCAATATTCGCGTGAACGAAGTACAATTTTTCTGTGTGTCATTTTCGCGAGCACTGAACAATTCGCTCGACCCGATCTTGACTGTGGGTAACGCAACTAGAAAACTAACGTTGGTCTATGCTTTTTTCTTTCGGGTCGCGATGTTTTCTCAGTTAGCAATTTAAATGACACCGTTGTTTTGGTAATTTCGTTGCATTGTCAAGCTCGTAAGCTCGTAAGTTCACATCACGGTTCACGCAACACACATAAGACTACGTAAATGTATGATGCCAAACGATCGGACACGTGATATAAGATACACATATGTCGCCGGCCGGTAATTTTGTGTACGTGGTCGATTAGTAGAAGCTTCGATTAGTTGATCAAGTTCACGTAGTTTGCCCGTCTAGTATGAGATCGTTACATTTTCGTTGAAACGACATGATCGTTAATTGTACGCCTGACATCATTCGTTTCACGCTTTCGTGAGGTGACATAACCTATTGTTGACAGTGACACACGCCACGCGGCTTCCTTTCGCAGCTTTCGTTTCATTTTAACGCACGATATTTTTTTTTCTTTAGATATTTAACTGCTTTTCGCATGCGAGATAACTGTAGTTTTTTATCGTGAACGAACAAGTGACGTGATCTGTAATATATTTCAAATTTTTTTTATTTATTTTCTTTTTCACAGGTAAATTATATGAAATTGGTGCTTCAATTATTTGAGAAAGCAGAATCTCCATAGCCCTGTCGATATGGCTGTGTTGATGAAGACGAAAGGTCTGCGTATGTCTGCACAGAAGCAGGAAACCCTTTTAAAGTTAACTGTGTTATCTCTTGCAGCGATTTTGTGTAAGTTTCTTAAATTGACACAAGAAAGGGGGGAATTTTTGGTATGTTTTCAATGTGATCCCTCTCTTTTATAGCTTTTGCAACAAGGTTGTTCTCTGTCTTGAGATTTGAAAGTGTCATCCATGAGTTCGATCCATATTTTAATTATCGCACAACAAAGTATCTAGCAGAGAATGGGTTTTATAGTTTTCACAATTGGTTCGATGATCGTGTTTGGTACCCTCTTGGGAGAATAATTGGAGGTACGTTGTCTTACATGTTGATTTTTAATTGATTTCTATGGTTTAACTATTTCAGGAACAATATATCCTGGATTGATGATAACATCAGCAGCATTATACCGTCTTTCATGGTTACTAAACATTACCTTAGATATACGTACTATTTGCGTCTTCCTTGCTCCATTGTTTTCTAGTTTGACGACAATTATTACTTACTTACTTACCAAAGAGCTGAAGGTAGAAATATGTTAAATATGTCTAACATATTTTTATATGAGATTTATTTAATATAATAAATCAACGATATATGATTTTAAGGATTCTGCGTCGGGATTGTTCGCCGCAGCTATGATAGCAATTGTTCCTGGTTATATATCACGATCAGTGGCAGGGTCTTATGATAACGAAGGCATAGCTATTTTTTGTATGTTATTTACGTATTACATGTGGATCAAAGCAGTTAAAACTGGTGCAATTTGTTGGGCAACCTGTGCTGCTCTTGCATATTTTTATATGGTGTCTTCTTGGGGTGGCTACGTATTCCTGATTAACTTGATTCCTTTACACGTGTTGACCTTAATGGTAACTGGCAGATTTTCTCATAGAATATACATTGCGTACAGTATTCTGTATTGCTTAGGGACAATTTTGTCTATGCAAATATCCTTTGTTGGTTTTCAACCTGTGCAGAGCTCCGAACATATGCTTGTAAGTATAAAATATATTACATATTAATTTTACGAAGAGAATATTCTAGATAAAACTGGTTTATATCTTGTGCAGGCATTAGGAGTTTTTGGACTTTGCCAGATTCACGCCTTGGTTGATTATCTGCGTAGTAAAATGTCGCAGGATGACTTTGAAATATTATTCCGTGGTCTTGTTATTTCTATAGTTACTATTTCGTTTGTACTAGGTGTCATTTTAACTATTACAGGTATGTATATAATTATAATAATTTCTTAGATCATAAAAAATACATATTAATTTCTCGATTGTCTCTTAAAATGTAAGGAAAAATATCTCCATGGACTGGTCGTTTTTACTCTCTTTTGGACCCGTCCTATGCGAAGAATCACATACCGATAATTGCGTCCGTTTCGGAGCATCAGCCAACATCGTGGAGTTCTTTTTACTTTGATCTCCAGATTTTAGTATTCCTGTTTCCATCGGGTTTATACTTCTGTTTCTCCAAATTGACAGATTCGAACATTTTTCTCATTTTGTATGGTGTTACAAGTCTATACTTCGCCGTGAGTAAAAATAAAGTTTTCGTAAAAAAATTTTAGCAAAAAACAAAAAAAAATGTGTGACAGAAGCGAATTCAAACTTGAGTTTTTAAATATGTTTTACGCAGGGTGTAATGGTTCGATTAATGTTAGTTCTTGCCCCAGTAATGTGTATTCTGGGTGGTATCGGAGCTTCCTCGTTACTTGTCACTTACATGAAACAAGTGGAGAGAGGGAAAGTTACAGATAAGAAGGCAAAGAAGTTTGAAAGTAATTACATACTCAGGAGTGAGGTAACTATCAAGTATTTTTAAATTCAGCTTTTTCACGAAATGTTACATTAACCAATTTGCAGATCGCAACACTCTTTATAACAGTAATGTGTATTCTCTTCTTTTCGTACACCATCCACTGTACGTGGGTTACAGCAGAAGCTTACAGTTCTCCTAGTATCGTATTATCGGCACGTTCTCCAGATGGTAGTCGCATGATTTTTGACGATTTTAGAGAAGCTTACTACTGGTTACGCATGAACACGCCAGAGGTAATTTTATAACACTCTAAACAATTTTTCTGCATAAGTTTGTTTAAGATCACGTTTAAGACTGAGCTGGTTAATTGTAGAATGCCAAAGTAATGTCTTGGTGGGATTATGGATACCAAATAACGGCAATGGCGAACCGTACGATTTTAGTAGACAATAATACATGGAACAATACTCACATATCAAGGGTTGGTCAAGCAATGGCAAGCTCTGAGGAAAAAGCTTACGAAATAATGAGAGAACTAGATGTTAATTACGTTCTTGTTATTTTTGGAGGACTTACGGGCTATTCGTCAGATGGTATATTAACACATGAAAAGAATAAAGCTGCAATTTAAAATTGGTTAACAAATTGTTCGATTATGATTTCAGACATTAATAAGTTCCTATGGATGGTGCGCATCGGCGGAAGTACCGAAAAAGGAAAATCCATAACAGAATGGGATTATTACAACTCTGCAGGAGAATTTCGAGTTGACAAAGAAGGTTCTCCGATTTTGCTCAATTGTCTTATGTATAAAATGTGTTATTACAGATTTGGTCAAGTTTATACAGAAGGAGGTAAATTCGCCATTATGAATATAATGAATGTAATTTATGTGATTTATGATGTTTTAAAATAATTTTGTGATTAAATAGGGAAACCTTCTGGATACGATAGAGTTAGAAATATGGAAATTGGTAATAAGGACTTTGAACTAGACATGTTGGAAGAAGCCTACACTACTGAACATTGGCTTGTACGAATTTATAAAGTGAAAGATTTAAGAAACAGGGGAATTTAAAAAAGAAAGATATAAACTAATGACAAAGATATTTACCATTTCATAATTTCATTTGCTTGTAAGTTCTACGATTGTCTATGAGACATCAATACGGCATTAAGTACAGAATTGCAAGACATATTTAGGCCTCATTACATACATTATTTTAGCAAGTACAGTTACATCGATTTACTAAACTTTGGAAGTAATGTTCGTACTGATTGAAACGAATAGAGCGGTATATTAATTTCAGTAGCATTTATAAGAATTTACTGATATCTGTAACTTAAACAATGTATACATTACGTATGTATTCAGGATATAGTTTATCAAATTGAATATTCTTATAGATTCATTTACGTTAAATTATTAAATGGTCTCTGTGTTCAAAGACAATGATCATCTTCGTAACTGCTTCCTATATACACACACAAAGTAATTACATTTAATAAAGTAAATTGAATAAAAAGTAATTTTGTTATTTATATTCACTGAGAACTAATAATAATAATAAAGATTTATTTTGTACGCCATTAATTACGTGTTCACGCAGAAAATAAATTTACATTAAAAAAGATCTCTCTGACAAACGAAATGATATATAGCATAAACTCGAAAAATCTGGATAGTATTATGCTATCTAAAATAGTACCAGTTGATTATAAAGTGATTTTAAATCGTAATGCATGCATATACATATACATATACATATACATATACATGTATGTATATATATATATACATTAGCAATAAGTACCGATTTACCATCTATACGTTATAGAAACGCATGCCATGTATCATCGTATGTTGCTTAAAAAATGTAATTAATATCAGCCTTTGTTTTATGGATGTGTACGGACATATGTGATTTTTCCGGTGAAGCTGGAAATAAATTCAAACAGATAGCATTTGCTCTTTTTTTTTTTATACGTACATTTTATTCGATATATTTTACAGATTGTAAAACCCTTAAAACTTAAGAATTACGAAACGCCTGAATAATAAGTGTCTTTCGTTTCAGAAATATCAAGTCATCTATATGAATTAATACGAATTGCAATGTTTATACAATTACTATAATTATCTTACTCTTAGCAATGTCGTTAATTTAAGAAACGTAGGAATGCAAACAGATTTATTAGTCGGTGCATAATAAAATTTTACTTGCGAATAATTTTTATTTGATTATCTTCTGATAGACCACAAAGGATCCAGTTGGCTTAGCGGATCGATTATTCCTTCTTTAGGTTTCTCTTGAATCGACGTCGTAGTTGAATGTATCGCACTGCTAACAGTAGAACCTTTTTGTCGACCTGTTTAAATTTATTCAACATTACTGCATTATTCTTTTGCGAAAGATACCACTTCACAAGATACCTTGGTCAACATCTGATCGCTGAGTACTGATACCGAGAGTTTGTAGAAAATCATCAGACGGATGCATCTTCCTTGATGTTTTATCCTTATTTCCCTTTAATCCTTCGAAATTTTCAAACGTTGAGCGTGTAGACGATAAAATTCCACCTGAATGTTTGACAAAAACATTTTTTATTTTCAGTTAATTCGTATCGTATCGACAGAGACGAAACAGTGAGCTTACGTTTCATTAAAATATCTTGAGCGTGGTATAATACCAACTGATACGCGAACAACAAGGATTCCTTATTTACAACTTGTTTACGGCACTTCAGAAGACCTTTGAATACAAGAGGTACATTAACTATCCCGCAACCTGCACGTATATGGCATACTGTTGCTGCTGCTAATAGGAATAAGCTGCTCAATGCTCCGCCATCCAAACAATGCACCACCACTGGCTTTGTACAACGTCTCAGTGCTTGTTCCGTCATTACGTCCGTTGAGAAAGTAAGCAAAGCACCTGGACTATTAGGAAAACCGCTGGAAAATAAAGAAAGGAGGAAAAGATTATCCAAATGTCTTGCATTATATTATTTACGTTTGAGGACGTACTTGGAAGGCCATGTGAGAAATTGCATGTGCACGACAGTCTTTTCTGAGTTTTTTTTAGTATTATGCACAGAAATAACTCTTTGGACATAGGACACGTGGTTAACTCTCTTTTTCAACGATATTGTAAAGCTACCGATGTTTAGAATATCGTCTTCGTTTATAGGCCAATATATCTCTCCGTTTAATTGCGCATCGGATATTAAACATGCAATTATTTCGCTTTCTTGTTCCCATATCATCATCCAAAATACTTCCAACTTATCCGGCAATGGTGCTTGAGTGATGATAAATGCTGTCGGTATCCATTGCGTGATCTCCATTATATGAGAGGCATTGATGTAATTTGGAATATCTGTCGACGATATTTGCACCCTTGTTGTGTCATATGGAATACACTCCATTACTCTATTCTCCGACGAATGAGCCAACGCTACTGTACAAGATTGTTTTCCACTTTCCCTTTCCTGAAATTGAAATATATGTTGTCTTGTTACGTGACTCACAGAGTAATATTTTACATTACATTATACAAATAATTTCGACAATCTTACTTCGAATTCTTGAACTTCTTTCCACTTTATATCAAGATTAGTTGCTCCGCTTAACGTTTTAACAAGCAAACTATCAACAAATTTCTCATACTTTTCGACTTCGTTAATGAACTTCTGCAATGCTGCTGGATCCCCTAAGGGATCCTTTTTAGGCTGCACGTCATTGTACCACGTGTCCCATACAATTTGTAGATTCTCATTCTCCGTATTCTTGTCTTCGGTAACGGTGGTTTCACTTATCTTTTCCTTATCACTTTCACTAGCATCATCTTTCGTTTCATCCTTCGCCGCGTCTTTTGTCGCAGCTTCATCTTGTGCTTGACCTTTACTAACAGGACGTACTTCCGGCACCAAGGGTGCATGATTTATAGTGACATCAAGGTCAGCAAGCAAGTCCACGTTAGACTGCTCCGACATTGTAGTGGGTTTAGTAGGATTTGCGCTTGTCGTTGTATTAGTTCCATTGTTCACAGCTTGCATGTACGTTTGATTGTAATTGTTATAGCTGTCGTTTCTGCTGTTGGATGCTGAAAATGTTGAACATTGAATTTTATAAAGTTATGAAGTTAAATTGTATAACAGAAATTTTATAAAGTTAACAGAAAGATAGATTTTGATATTCACCTTGGCTATTTTGCATTTGGAGGCCATACGGTGTAGTGTAATAAATATCGGTTGCACCTTGAGACTGATAAGCCTGCCCTGAATACTGAGAGGATGGAGTTTGACTAACCATAGAATTGTTACTAGCATTCGTATATCTTGCAGCACTTTCTTGTTGTTGGCATACATTGTTAATGCCAGTGTTTATTTGTAATGTCGACTCGGAAGGGTGTTGCGACGCTTGAATCGACAATGAAGTTTGAACGTTGCTGGGATTATATTCGTAGCACTGACTGGTAGAATTATAAGTATATCCCATTTGTCCTTTATAAGATTCAGTCATTGACGCAGTCATTTGATTCCCTTGCATATAATTGTATCCTTGATTGTAGGCGTGAGGATAATTACCATATCCAGAGTACTGCTGCGGATACTGATATGCCTGCGAGTAATTCTGCATATTCGTCGAAGACTTTGTATGGCTCTGAATCATCTCTGTATTAGTAGAACAATTAGTGTACGCATACGTATTAGAAGTGTCCGTGGACATTATAGTTTGTGGATACGAAACGCTGCTGGTATGTTGCAGACTGTGATAAGTACTAGGATAAGTTAAAGTGATGTCATTAGCTGATACTTGTGATCCATACTGATACCCCTTGTCCGTATAAATTTGCTTAGTTTGTTCTGTACTACTCTGTTGTGGATACTGCACAACGTTGGAACTGTGCAAATTTGAAGAGTACGAAACTCCTGTATTATTTACTGGAACAGTTAACGAACTAGTGGAATAAATAGATTGAGGAATGCTCATATTCATGTACTGCGTTTGCATATAGTGGCTAGAAACGGGGATATTAGTCGTCTCGGGTGTGTTCTGATTCGACGTGACTTGTTGGACGTGCAACTCGGATGGATTGTAATACATTGTGCCACTGTAACTCTGAGTAGATGGAACTTCACTCTGACTGATTTGAGAGAGAACGTAATTCTGCATTTGAGTGCTGTCCACTGGTAGTACGTGTTGGCTCATAGATGGAACAGATTCTTGAGTGGCAAACTTTTGTTGTGGCTCAGGCGTATATTGATGTCCTTGTTGAACTGGAGTGGTATAAAGCTGTGTCTGTACCTCTGTCGTTTTGTTAACGGCATTCGACAAGGACACAGACGTTTGCGTTATTGTCGACGTATTCTGAGATATCTCAGTTTTAATAGCACTAATACTAGCAGTCTTATCAAAATTAGAAGGATATTGTTGCGTGACGTTGTATCCAGTATAGTCAACTGGGGCTGGGGGCTGGTAATTTTCATACTGTAATGCATTGGTAGGATAGTTGTAAAGCGTTTGTACATTACTGGGGTACTTGTGTTGCCCGTCTAAGGTTGCAGAGAATTGCCCGTTGGATACAAAAGAATTTACTGGGTACTGCGCTGTGGCATCTGCTGTCGTTCCCATTTGCGAATATGTGTTTAAACCATCCGAACTATTTACTTGCATGTAGTTTTGACTCAAAGTGGCATTTTCGTTGTACGTCGACGTTTCATGCGAATACGGTAAATTTGTTTTATAGTCCGTATACGATGTGGGATAATATTGCTGCATAGATTTTGCATCTACCACAGGCATTCCGCCAGGATGTACTGCATTTTTATTCACTGTACTTTCGTTCAAGTATGATTTCGCTGCTGTGTCTACCACTTGTTTACCTTGATCCTTGTACACATTGTAATACTGATTTTGGACATTTTCTGGCCTGCTGTTCAAATAATCCTTCAATTTCAATCCACTGCCAGTTCGACTTCGACTTTGATCGTAACCGACAGCTACTGTTGCATTGATTTTCTCTTGAGAATTTTTATTGCTATCCTGCGCAAGTATGTGCTCGCGTTCCTCCTCCTGTACCTTGCAAGTGCTTTTCACTCGCTGAAGTAACTTGGAGACATTTATTTCTAATTTCCTATAAAACTCGAGACCTTTGCTAGACTTTGCCAACAGATCTTCGTAAGCATCGTAGGATGAGATCAAGGATGAGATGGTATGCTCTCGGCGTTTTAATATTTCTTCCACGCCTTTTCGCACGTTGGCAGTTTGGGCGTACGCGTCTGTCAAAGCTGCCAGGATGTTATCTTGTGCGGTGAGATTCTGCTCTATCAACGTTACCAGCGTTTGATGTTTACTAAGTTGATCGGCGAATAAACGATCCAACGGACCGGAATCGGACGTAGCTGTAACGAGTAAGCGCGTCAAGTCATCCTGCGCGATCGAGTCTCGTAGTTTCGTGTGCAATTCATTCCTCTGTCTACGCATTTCATCGACTTTGTTCAAAATGCGCTTCAACTCCTTGGTGTGCATCCGTTCTAGCTCGATCGCGCTATGGGATTTCTCAGTATTTTGTTCCGAGAGATACGCACTCGGTGAAGGTACGTGGGTCATAAGCTCAGCAAGCGGCTGAGAGAGTAGCTTTAAATTTTTCACATGCATCGTTATTGCTTTATGAAGGGCGTGATTGCTTTCCGAGGCTTTATTATGAGCTTCCTCGTATTTTTTCGCTTCCCTGGTCAAATCAGTGGCGACTATCGACGGAGGTCTCTTACCGACCATGTCTTGATACTCCTTTTCTTTCTGCTCTTCATCAAGGAGAAGCTTTTTAATTTCTTTCAGTATTTTCTCAACATCTTGACTAGTATCTGACAATTTTTCCATTATATCCAGCAACTCTTGAATAATATGTTGCTTAGCATTCAACGCCGCGCATCTTTCAACCAGCTCATCTGGGAGAGGTAAACGTTCCCATTCTGTCGTCTGAACATCAGGATCCCATAAATTCATATGTTCCAATTTTAAGGACGTTAGGTACGTATTAAGTTGCTGATCCTTCTCTTCGATTTTGCTACCAACGGAACGTAATATTTTCGCTTTCTCCTCCGAGTACAGAGAACTCGCTTCGTGCACTTTCATTGGTATTAATCTGGCAAATATATCAGGACCTGAAACTTCAGGATCGTTGATACTAAATGATATTCCTTTGACCAAGGGAGCACCTTTCACAGTGGGTAACGTTTCCTTCTCTGGCACTTCCTCGTGATATATATACTCATTTTCATTTTTAGCTGCTTTACGTTTCCCCTCTATCACGTCGTTCGTAAACGTGAGCGCCTCTTCAATGGTTGTCTTTTCTCCAGGAATATTCAAATAAATTAATTGCGCCTCGTTCAGAGAAGCTAGTGCAGCATTGTAAAATGCTACCCTTTCTCCCATCTTCCTTTGTTCCTCAGCAGCTAATCCTTGATATAAATATGTGACTGCTAAATGATAAGCCTTCTTGAATTTCAAGTAATACTTCCAGCTCTGAAGAAAAAGGGAATACTTTTAAAGTTTACAATGTTTCATTAATGACAATTATCAAGCTTGATAAGTTTGATAAGTAACAAGGATAAATTTTACCTTATAGATTTTAGTTCCAACCGTATCTGATATAGTTCCATCCTCGCTTCCACCTTGTTCAAGCGTAGCTAACGCCAGATTAAAATAATCCACTATCTGTCTGGCGACTTTTGCTGCGTGATACATATATCTTGTAGAATGACACAAATTAAAGCCACAGTGAAACATACCCGTGAAAATTCCGTTCCTTGCGTACTCACCTACGATTGTTGGTTTACGATTGTCAAGCATACTTTTTTCTAATATACACTCCTGGGCTTGAGCTAAGCAAAGCTGGTGCATAAATGTCATAAGCTCCGGAGCTAAGTCTACACCGGACGGCTGTGGGTAGCTATTCTTTAAATGCTCAAACGCCCACGCCGCACACTGAAAGTGAGCACAGGCCATCTTCATCCCATCGGCCGACGTCCTCTCTGTAAGTGCTCCCAATTGAGTATGCATCGCGCCGATATTATACAAAATAGAAATTATTTCAAAGCGGATATTTGCCAGTGAACAAACCATGTTTGCGTACGTGTCCCTCCTGTTTCAAATTCAAATGCGTTCAACCTTTCAATACCGACAACTATTAATCATTAATCACAGTTAGTTTACCATGTGAACGTGATCGCCGCCGCGCCATCCTTTCCCATGGGGAATCTACTTTGAAGAAAATGTAACTGGCAATAGTATCTCTTTAACAGTGAACAGCCAGCTACGTCGATGGGTGGCCGTATCGCCACTGCGCGCAAGCTTTCTAACTGGTGTATCTCGTGGGCAAATGTTCCTGGATCTTTGTTGTAGAAGTCACGTATATACTGGAATGAAAAATGTGTGCAGTCAATTAGCAACGATCAAACAATTACGATAATTAACAAGCAATTAACAAATAATCACTAGGTTCGTTTTAGAAAAGGGAAACGTGAGACTTAAACTTACAAACAATATAAAGTTACGGACCAGATACATTTACATTAATTCGCAATTTAAATGTGAAATTTCATCGTTGTGAAATCACTGAGCGCATTTTATCTGTTCGTACCTGCTTCAATTTCGGTCCGAACGTAGTGGGCTCCGGGCTGACTTTCAACTGGAAGGATATCATCGGCAATCTCGGCACCGCTTCCATTGCAAGTTGTTCGACAACACGTTATCTCTCTAAGGTTTCTATTAACTGACAGTCGATCATCTGTCAAACTCGTAGAAAATGGATATGACCACGGAGCATACTCTCCTTTGTCACGTACCCACTTGTGACGAATGAGCTGCCGCCTGTGGGTTGATACCCATGTGATATTTAATTCCTGAAATTTTTTCATAAAAACAAAAATACTACTCTGTAATTCTGCGCATACGAATTTATGTTTATTTTCTGTGATATTTTAGGGGATCTGTTATTAGTGATAGCATGAAACGTAAGATATAACGGCGCATTAATTCAAATATGGCGTACGCAGGGAAATTGCTCGTTCGTGATTGGTCAAATGGAAACGCTTCTTGCGCGTCACAAAGCAGGCTGGAATCCACCAACAACTCGTCAGTACTCCCGAAAGCAGAGTGGTGATTGGACGTGACGTGTCCGAGTCTGTCATCGAGTTACTATGTAATTGTTTATTTCGTTGGAAAACGTGTAATTATGAATTGAATAAACATCAGTATCGTGAAAACGAAATTCATACGTTGCACTTTTGTACGTTGCATTCATTGCGCACAAGAGTCGATTTGTTTCGACGGATCCGGTCTAGAACGTTCGCGTCTCGTGTTTGTCTCGTTCGTAATTATGCATGGTAAATTGTTGACGAGAAGTGAAATCGTTTGCCTGTAACATGTCAGAAAGTAGACTTGATATGGATATTGATAATCAAAGCGAGGACGGTGAAATAAAGAAAAGCCCTTCGAAAGACATGGACGACTTCAGGTATCGTATATAATGCTGACACTCTCTCGTTACCTAACCTCAATCTTTTGCACTGCATTATTAAAACTGTGTTTCTTTCTTGACGTAGAGTGTTTCAGAAGGTTGGTGCCAATATCCAAGAGTTCATAATATTCGTCAAAACAAACAAAAGACGCGAGTCTTAGTAAGACATGGGTCTGTATATCGCATTAGTTAAGCGGAGTTGTAAGTCTTTCGACTGTGAGGCTTGTAATGGCGCAAGAGAGTTTGTTGCGTATACAATTTACCAGATAGGTTCTTAGATCAATCATAGCTATAAAATATGCGGTAATGCTATGTGTATTCTATTACTGAACAACAATGAATCAAAAGTGTACTTTATTGTATCATTTATTGCATGTGAAGCTTCATTTTGGTTCTTGAGACATTATTTCAATAATAGTCTGCTGAACTGTGCGTTAAAATAAATGGATTGAAGATATTATTCCACGAATCTAGATACTCCATAAATGGAATATTAATATTTAAACAAATGTATTACCAAAGTTCTCCGCTTGTTTTTATAAGTATTGCGTACTCTTGAATTTCAGCACCAACTTTCTGAAACATTCTGCGTAATTGCTTTCTTTTGTTTTTTAACTAACAGAGAAGTTCTTAAATTATACATGTTATAATGTTACAATTATACATGTGCTTCTGTGTTTACTAAGTGAAAAAAGAAAAAAAAATTGAAACATATCCTAACAAGTCAATCTTGCGTTTTTGAAGCGTTTGTTGTTTTGAGAAAAGTATACTTAAAGCTTTTCAGAGGAGGATGGGGGAGATACAGCAGACTCTTTGGACATAAAACCGCCACAGGCTATCGTTCGACATCACAAATCTAATTCGTCGCGAAGGAGGGACAAACACAGCGATAGAAGAGATCGCAGGGAAGAGAAAGAGAGAAAGTCTAGGCATCATGATCGCGGGGAAGACAGACACAGAGACAAGCACAGACATCGTAGACATGGTGTGGACATTTTGGAAAGGTCAGAACGTTCAGATGGTTCCAAAAGAGATAGGGAAAGACTTGAAAGGCTAGAAAGGATGGAGAGTCACAGAGACAGAGAATCTAGACACGACAGGAAAGAGAGAAGTACAGGGGATCGTGTTTTGGAGGATCTGAGAGAGAGGTACAAAGCATATCTCATTTTTCGTTTATTCTGTTGCATAAAATGCGTTTTTTATTGAAGTATTTAATTTCCAGATTATTAGATAAAAGAAGAGAGAGGCGAGAGGACTCTCGAGATATTCGTGATTATAAAATGGAGACTCGCCGCGAGATCCGTTTGGAGGACACACGAGAGTTACGTGAGTCGCGTGAGCGTCGAGAAATACGATTGGAGGATATGCGAGAACGTCGCGAGACTCGTACCATCGATGACATCAGAGAACGTCGTGAAATTCGAATGGAAGAGCACAGGCATATGAGGGTAATGGAGGAGCAATACTCCGAAACGGAGTTAATGGAACGACCCGAGAGAAGTGAGAAACGTCACAAGAGGTCGCACAAGCACGATCGGCTTCGTGAGAGAGACCGGGAAAAAGCGGAGCGCGAGAAAGAGCACAGGGAAAAGCAGCTGCGCGAGGCAATGGAGATCGTCACGGATGAGCCAGATGATATGGAAATCAACGAAATACCGATACAACCAAAGGATCCGAAGGAAATGACCGAACAGGAACTTAGGAAAGAAAGACTGTTGGAAGCTGACAGGGAGATGGCCAGAAGGAAAGAAGTTTCTCGGTTAGAGTTGGAAGCGCGACGAATGAAAAGGGGTGAAAAACGACCTTTGAGTCCGGATAATGATCAAGATCCTTCTATCGTAGAATTATCCGACGAGAGCCCAAGTCCCGCTCATTCAGACGAAGTTCGTTCTAAGTCCATCGAGTAAGAGTTAGATACTATCGTAATTAACGTTATATGCTATCGTAATCAATGTCATTCTATTTTTGATATCTAAATATAATGCTGATTATTTGTGTACAGATCTAGACACTCGTCCGATGGAGAGAGAAGTATACGCGAAAGATCCTCCGATCGACATTCTTCCGATTCATCTGAATCCAGCAGCGACGACGACGACGAATCGAACGACTCAAATAAAGGTTCCAATGCTGATTCCAACGATGGTTCTGATTACAATAATCCAAGTCCCTTGTCTGTTGATCGGTTGGCGAAATCTGATCATTCCGATGGAGAGTCGCCTGGACACGTGGATTCAAATAGCGCGTCGAAGAACGTAGAGGAAGAGGAAGAGAAAAAGGAGGAGGAAGAGCCTGAATTACCACCGTACTTGCCAGCAATTCAAGGTAACTAACTCTATCTGTTTCTCTCCATCTTCATATTGTACAGTGTGATCTTCATGTTTCTGGCGTTCTGCAGGTTGCAGGAGCGTAGAAGAATTTCAGTGTTTGAATCGTATCGAGGAAGGTACATATGGTGTAGTGTACAGAGCACGTGACAAACGCACGGACGAAATTGTTGCTCTGAAACGACTGAAAATGGAGAAAGAAAAAGAAGGCTTCCCGATAACCAGCCTCAGAGAAATAAATACTCTGTTGAAAGCTCAGCATCCGAATATTGTTACTGTCCGAGAAATAGTTGTTGGCAGTAACATGGATAAGATATTCATTGTAATGGATTACGTGGAACATGATTTGAAGTCATTAATGGAAACGATGAAGCAGAAGAAACAGGTTTTCATACCAGGTAACTATGACTAATATCGTTAAAAAAGGATAAAAATATGTATATCAGTGTAATAGAAGCATGTAATACAAATATGTATAATGTAAGCGTGTAATGCAAGCAAATGTTTTGTCTGTAGGAGAAGTCAAGTGTCTTATGCAACAATTGTTAAGGGCAGTAGCACATTTGCACGACAATTGGATTCTCCATCGAGATTTGAAAACGTCGAACTTATTGCTAAGTCATCGAGGTATTTTGAAAGTTGGTGATTTTGGTTTAGCGCGAGAATACGGTTCTCCTTTGAGACAATATACTCCGATTGTTGTAACGCTTTGGTATAGAGCTCCTGAATTGCTACTGAGTGGGAAAGAATATAGCACTCCCATCGATATGTGGTCGGTCGGGTAAGGAAAAAAATGTTAAAAAATTAAATGATGTAAAATTTTATTTAAACGCAATAGTATGAAAAATGTCTTATTATTGAAACTATATACCTATATATATATATATATTTTTTTCAGATGCATCTTTGCAGAGTTATTAAGAATGGAGGCATTATTCCCAGGTAAATCCGAGATCGATCAATTAAATAGGATATTCAAAGAATTAGGTACGCCAAACGATCGGATATGGCCAGGATATAGTAAACTGCCGATGGTGCAGAAAATTCCATTTGCTCATTATCCCGTAAACAATTTGAGACAACGTTTCAGCTTATCCTTATCAGATTTAGGCATCGAATTGTTAAACAAGTATGTCTTCCTCGAACAATATTTTCGTGATTTAGTATCATTTGTCTGTCTGTTAACTCAAAGTAAATTTTCTTTTGTTTTTCAGATTTCTTACGTACGATCCTCAACAACGGATCTCGGCGGAAGATGCTTTGAAACATGGTTACTTCACAGAAGCACCATTACCAATAGATCCACAAATGTTCCCTACATGGCCAGCCAAGTCGGAGCTTGGCGTACGAACGGCGAATGCTTCGCCTAAACCACCAAGTGGTGGAAAAGAATACAAACAGTTGGGGGACGGAGACGACGCTGATTTGAGTAACTCTGGTTTTCACATGGGTCTTATGGAAGGCGGTAGACAACCGCCTATCGGTGGTGGTTTCCACTTGAAGTTTTAAATACATGATATTTAAATACATATGATAAAGTTAAAACAAGAGTGATTGCTTTTTCTATGGAATAAACTTTATACGTAAATTTCGAAGTACTTGCTGCTTTGCATTTGAAATTACATAGGATAAGAAAGGATATTGAAAAATGAAAATCGTCAGAAATTCCATGAAAAGAAGGATTGTAATAAAAGATTTTAATGTTAGAATTTATACTGTTTTGTTGTATGACATTAAATCTCTTCTTTCAAACGAACATTTTGAAACACACTCTTGGAAGGAAGAGTTTATATTTTATTTTATCTAACACACAGTCGTAACTCGTTGCAGCTAGGAAAAAGAGATACGATTTATTAAAAAATTGTCAACAAGGATATAATTCTTCTAGTTTATTGAATTCAGTATGTTACAAGCCTAGAAGCTTCTCTGAAATGTATACATTAAATAAAGTGTAACATTGTTGCCAATAAATGTCAGTAATTTTACTTTCCAGCATTGTTCATGTTCTTCGGTAAGCCCAGTAGCGAATTTATGAGTTCGGAGTTGCGCTTAGAGTGATGACAGGGGCAGGGTGGCAACGTCAGCAGTCTTGCAAGTTGCAAATCATTGTTCTGAAAGCACACCTGACCTATTCATTAAGGCCACCGAGGTCAAACAAAATACAATATTTTCTTACCATTCCTTTGCCGTATGGAAAATTCATTCCCAACACGTTCCTATAAGAGTCTTCGGTTGTTCCCAGTGTAGGGTACGTGATTCCCAGCATCATAATTAAGATCAATACATATTTCATCGATGCCATGCTTCGTTTGCAAAAACAACACGAATGAAAATATTGTTAATTATCATTCTCAGTTTGCTTCTCGACATAAAAATTATTTTATACAATTACCTGTTTCCTTCGTTTCTTTAGAGAACTGTCGCGAATGCTGTTTCTGTTGCCGTGCAAGACAAATCTGTCCTGAGACCCCGAGGCTACGATACTTTTATACAGGCGATGACCATGGGGGGTTGAAATCTGTCCACGACAGACGGATCTGCAAACGACAGTTATCTCCTCAAGGAAATGTCGAAGAAATTCTTTCACTTTTTTTTTCTTTTTTCTTTAAATAATTACGTAAGCTCCAGTCAGCATTGTTGGTGACAGACTTTTTAATCCGCCTTTCTTCTCTCTCTTTTTTTATTTTAAAAATAACACATTTCACTGTGTTATTCATTCACTTACAGGATCACGACGGATTAAAGTTGGAGATTATCATTTTTTTCATGCAAAGATGTTGACCATGGATTTCTTCACCTTCATTTTCCACAATGGGTCACTCATTTTTCTAAAGATTCCTAAAATCATTTTCATTATTTATTCTTTCCTTTTTTTTTTCTTTGTATTATCTTTGAATTTTGATTTGAAATTTGATACATAGGCGAAAGTAACGATTATAGCGAAATAAGGAAATAAAGAAAATAATGGGATTAACCAAGAGTACTAGTATCATTCAATTAATACACATTACAGATGTATTGATGCTCCTTTCGAGATGTTTTATGTTATTGAAAGTGCAGAACGGATAAGAAATCGTCTGAAGGAATTGGCGATCAAATTTTACGATTAGCAACGTCCATGTAGTGAACGTGTCATCTAAATTTATCACTGCCTTCGATTCGACCGTGCTATAACACAAGTATGCGTAATTTACACTATGTACATTTACACCGTAGAAGAGCATTGGAAATCTCAAGTAATACATCTCATTAATAACACGTCACGTTTATCGTAGATGAAACGAGGAAAATTTCGTTAATTTCTTAACACAAAAATGACTATTTGGATATTTTTGTTAGATATTTTATTCACACGAAAGTGTATTCTTTGGAGACTTGAACGATTCTTCGTAAAATACACAAATAAAGCTTGCATGTCCCATTACTTTAATGTCTCTGATGGAAATTTTGACGTTTTAGGTGTCGGTTAGTCTAATGTTAAAGAATGAAACCTTTTGAAACATTTTCCACTTCGTGTACGAAACATGCAAAAATCGAAACGAAACGTTCGAACTAGCCACGATTGTAAAGTAACACGATCAACGTTATACACTCTCAATAATTAAGGGGATTGTATTTATTCATGAGACACCCACGCGAAAATAGAGGAGCGATAAATACCGGAGATATTAAAGTTCGACATCCTTCGCAGCTGGGCAGTTATGAAGGAACAGAGTGGAAAAGCAAGATGGGAAAGAGGAAAGGAAAGAGCAAAAGATAGAGAAGGAAAGAGGAAGGAGAGGGAAGGAGCTTAAGAGTTCCAAGAGTTTCATGCACAATAATCGAAATCTTCGTACCTGAGATAGGTATGGGTCACTAACCAGAAAGCTGACGTCGTGGCCTTGATTTTTTCTTAAGATCCTTCAAACTCGAAGACATGTGTCGCGTTTGATCATGTTACAGTTCAATTTTTTCGATGTTATATATATATACACGATATATTATAATAGTACATAAAACTTTCGTCATATTATGTATGTAGGTTTCCTCTGAAAATCATCGGCTAGATCTCTCACCTTTAGTTAATTATATATTTCTATCTCGAGTTTGATTTCTTCATTACAAGTATCGTAACTTTGGCTTGACGAATGATCCCATGGTTTTTCCAAGGATTTCACACGTGTCCAAGGTGCCTCGTATAAATCACCTAACCTAACACAGTGACACACGGCCTAAACGAAACGGACGGGTCTTCGCCTCCCGAATTATCTATTGCTCTCCTGTTAATAGCATTCTCGTGTACATATCAGTGGCAAAAATATCAAACAAACGGCCAAGCTGAGGTTTCTAAGAGGAGAGGGATGCATTAATGGTTCTATTAGTTATACGAGACAATTCTATTCAAGGCTCACCGAAGAATCGTGGAATTTCGTTGATCATTGTCGAAACTCTTCCTTTCTCGAATTTTCAATCTTGTGGAAATCAGCGCGCTTCTGATCGCGAGATAAAATCCTTGCAAGAAGACGAATATACATCTGTATACAGGGTGGATTCTAAAAAAAAGGATTCTTTGATAGTGCTCGCCGAAACATGGAAAAAAGTAACATGTAATACAGCAATAAACATCGAAATTAATAGTTTAATTAATAAAAGATTTCTAAACGTTCTTTTGTTTCGGTTGAAGGAACGAATTTCTTCGCTTCTCGAGCGATATCATGCTATATTTATAGTGGTTTATTTTATAATTTCTTCTTTTCCTGATTACAGGAAGTTTTCTGTGTGTTGTAGGAATTTATTGTTTCAGGTTAAGCTGTGTAATAAATTCGTCCGCCGTTCGGTGTTGCATCTTTCAGAAAACTATTAAAATATATTACAATTGTGTTACTCAGTGACAAAAGTAGAAACTTAAAGCATAATATCAGATTGACGATATAATTAGCATCAAAATATTAAAGGAATTGTTTATCATTACAGAAAATACTGAATACTCACGATTGTTGACCTAAGTTCACTGTGTCTATTAACAATACAATATTTAATCATTTCAATGGACGGGAGACGTTTTTTATAGGTAATTGTATAATTCAAACGGCGTAGAGATGTACAAATTATGTACAGGGTGAATAGAAAAAAAGGGTTCGTAACTTTTATGACAAAAAATACTCGTCGAAACAAAATGAAAAAAAAGTCGTAATAAAAGAAACGAAAGATCGTTTATAACCTCGAAACTATTAATTTCTCAACTCGTGTTTATTAGGACCTTTTTTTCACGTTTCGGCTATTCTACGAACCCGAAGTTACGAACCTTTTTTTCTGTTCTATATCGAATTCCGTCGTATCTACTACACACAAGGATCGTTGTCATACACATTTCTAGCCGCGTGATTTAATTATGCATTCCATTTGGCTGTTAAAGCGCTTTAACAGGTTCCACGTATGAAAAAGGAACCTATAGAAACCTGTATCGAAACACATTTTGGCCACCCGATGCCAATGAACTTCAAAGACGTGCGCACTCCTCGACAATCGGCTCCCGGGAGTCGTATTCTGGCCCTCGAGCGCAAACTGGATCTCTCGCGCCAGATTCATTCGGGGAACGGAGAACAATTAACCGATTGGCATCCTGAAATTTGAATACCTGTCCCGTCTAACTCCTCGCGGCTACTCTTCGCCTCACCTCCATCACCATCGGATCTAATCGCCGATCGACTGCTGAAAGCCTGTTCGTTTCTTCGCTTAATAGCTTAAGTTTCGTCGTAAATGATTTCTTCTCTTTCTCTCTCTCTCTCTCTCTCCGTTTTTTTGTCCATTCTTTTCGTCGTTAGAGAGCAAACACCCGGTCGCAAGTTCAAGGCCACTCCCCAAAGTGGCCTTTATTTTTAGGATTCCCAGGAATACCTGGTGCCGCGAATTCTGCAATGGGACCAGTCTTCTTCCCCGGATCCTTCCATTTCGTCACTTTTTTTTCCCCCTCCCCGGTTCCCCGGTTCACCGAGCGAAGCGTCTTCAAACCAAGGATCTGAAAGCCTTCATTTCTCAACGATCACTATCGACGTTTGCCGCGATTTTTTTTCCTCGCCGTCTTTGTCTTGCCGTTTTGTCGCGCAGCCTTTTTATCTAACACGTAAAAAACCTCGCCGATTCCTTGGAACTAAGTAAAGGAAGAGAGAGAGAGAGAAAAAAGGAAAAAAGTTATTTTTCTGAAATCGTGTCTCTTGCAAGGTCGAAAATAAAGACGTACGGATTCTCGGGCTTGGAATTGAACGTTCATCGTTCGCCGTTACTGAATCGTCGAGAGAAACGTATGTTTATATTTTTTCAGAAAGATTATGCCTAAATAAACGAGGAAACGGGAATACTCTGTGTAGAGAGAGAGAGAGATATTCTTTATGGTTGAATTTTTTAATATATGAATATTTTAATGTATGGCACGTGGCTGTCCTGTCGATATTAAATTTGCAAATTTACGATCCGGCAGCTTCGTGGAGAAGCGGAAGCACCCACGTGGCAATGGGTTTTCGAGCATCATTGAAATCAAGACTACGTTAAACAGAGAACGAACATGGCATACGTAACGGAACGCATTATACTAGCGGGAGGTACAGTATCGTACTAATCAGTTCTTTGTGCTGATTAATGTAACACCCTTGTGTCGAATATTGTTCTGTGAACACTATAGAACGTGATATTGTTTACATTCGAATGATGCATTTCTTAAGTAAATTTCGTAGTCGTCGAACTATTCAGTAATCATACTAATAAAAGTATTATATCCTTTTGAAATAGTTACTCTGTCGTAATGGTGAACATACAGTGAGGTTTAGAAATTCGATCGACACCAACGGATGCAGCTATAAATTGCAAGTCTATTCGATTCCAATCTCAATATTATTGCAAATTCCAAGGTATTCACTGAAAAATAATATTTAACTGCTGTTTAGTGTTTCTTTAGTACTTTAGTAAATCATATTTTGTAAACTTCTAGAATATGGCCTTCTGTTTTCCTTTGAGATCTCGTGAAATCTCGAGTCGTGTCATTTCTGAGACATATACAACGTCACAATATATTATTACTGAAATTGTTCTTACATGCAACGAATAATAACTGAATACAAATAACAAGAAACTAAATGTTAAAAAAAAAAGAAGAACTTGAGTCTTGATACGAAGTATAGAATATACAAATCACACAATGCAATCGGCACAATATATTATTACTAAAATTACATGCATCAAATAATAACTGAATACTGAGAAACTAAATATTATTAAAAAGAAAAGAAGAAAAGTTTGAACTTAAGTCCTGACTTAATAATAATAACTAAAAAAAAAAGAATAGTTTAAACTTAGGTTCTGGCAAGAAACTTGTATAGAATATATAAATCAATTGTCACAAAACATTATCACTAAAATTGTTCTTACATGCAACGAATAATAACTAAATACAAATAACGAGAAACTATTAAAAGAAGAAGAGTTTAAACTTGGGCTCTGACGAGAAACTTGTATAAAATACATAAATCAATTGTCACAAAACATTATTACTAAAATTATTCTT